GTTGTGACTGCAGTATTTTTATGACCACCAGAGGTCGCTATACTACATAATTAAAGCTGTTGAACAAATTATTTACAGCTGTACATAATACAAATGCTGATAAAAAAAAATCCCATAGATCCTAATCCTGACTGAACTAATTAACCTCAGTTCAGCCATTTCACTCAGAGGCGTTGACAAACTTTATCATCTATGAACCATAAGAACAATGAAAGTCATATCACAGACCATTTAAGGACAGATTTGTGACTTTATATTGGCAGTTGAAATTCCCTTTTTTTTTTACTGACAGGCAACGGTCAGCATTATTCTGAGACTGGACACAAGACACAGGACATTAATCCCAATGCATAATATATTTGTCATCTCTTCATTCAAACTGACACTTGACATTGTAGATTTCATCCAGTGGAAAAATCTGCGCACCCATTCACTCATTGGACGTCTCTTCTGCTTGGCGCTTTATACTTGTAGGTATTGGATATTGTTGTGTGGATGTGTTATTTTCATCACACTTTCCAGCTTTTTGCACCTGTACACAATATGCATTTATGTTGCAACAGAATCATTCCGCATTAGTTTTACCAAGCTTTATTGAATGGAGGATTCTGGTTGTGCAGATGTTCGGCCAGGTCCGCACATTTAGGTCTCTGATGCAACTCTCAGAGATCCATGCTGTCGACTGAAATGACTCATACATAGAATATATACTGTACAGATGGCCTATGAACAGAATCAGTGAGAAGAAATTTGTTTTATTATAGGATGTAACGTACCACTGAGCATTAAGCAGAGATGATGTTCTCTATTGGTTGGTGGCGCCAGAAAAATCGAGGACAGAAATTCAGCAGTACTACTTTGACAACCCATTAGGAGGACATCTCAGAAGACTAAAGACCTTGCTTCTCATTTTGCAGGGTGCTTGGTGGCCAAACATGTGGCAGGCTGGAGGTTTTGGGCCCCTAACCCAGATCAATCCAATTATGTTCAAGTTTTTCTAGGGCCACTGTCACAAACCTTTTAGCACCACCCCCCCGCCCCACCTCTTACGGTGCCCCTGATAGCAGGACACTTGGATGTATGTACGTAAATGTAGAACACCTAACACTGTTCCAGCTAGACACCTTTAACCCTTGGCTGTAATGGAACCTGGTGAAATACACAGTGTGGACTTAATGGGAATATTTCCCCTAAGCTGATGAGGAAATTCCATCGAGCCAGTTACAGTGACTTATTATTTTACCAAGGGAGTGGAACTGTTTCCCCTCTGTGATGAAAAATCTACCACAGTCCGTCACGGGGGGAAGGGGGTGTTCCACCCACTGGGTGAAATAATCGATTACAAATGGTAGAACTGATTGCAGTTAATTACCTTTTGAACTATTCACACCTGTAAACAATCGCTTGTGGGATTGGAGTGCTGACATTTCAGGGACTCCCCATGCCTGCATTCCCACTTGCCTCTCCCTCCTACTTATGCTGCTATAGCCATATCTGCTGGCGCTTGCACATTGCACTTCATATTGCACTCACCTAACTGTTAGCACTGTCTATAGTCCCCCCTACTTTGACTAATTGCACATTTTATTTCCCCTACTCCTCCTGGGGGGGGGGCTGCCTGGAGACCTCAATCTATCAAGATGTCCAGCACACCCTGCAACATGTGACGTCGCCACGACCAATGACGTCCGTGCATCCAGCTCACTGTTCTGCCTATGTCATCTTCCATGTATGACCCGCTGCCTGCCTTCTGGTTGCCTGGTGATTGGAGGGAGCGTTGGCACCGGCTGTCATCTCCCCCCTGCTCCCCGTTTGTGTCTGAAATTTTGCTGTATTTGACTCTCTCTGCCGGCCCCTGGAGGATGAGCTCCCCCTTTGAGTCTGGTCCCTCCCAAGGTTTCTTCCTTCTGGGGAGTTTTTCCTTGCCACTGTCGCCTATGGCTTACTCACTGGGGGCTTTGGGTGGGGATGCTGTAAAGCGCTTTGAGACGATGTAATGTTGTGCTAATGCGCTATACAAAAATAAATTTGTTGTTGTTGTTGTGCCGCAATTACCCTGAATTTGCATTTTGTGTATCACTGTCGTTTGCATATATATTGTCTAACAATATGCATGCTAATCTTTTCTTGCTACTATTAAATCCCATCCATCTCCACTATTTAATATGTTGTTCCACACATTTTTCAGCACCATTTTTCCATTTCAAGGCTAATTTGCATTTGGTCTGTTTGAACAGTATGATTCACTGTAACCTAGAGACCACAAGAGCGAAGTATGCACAGTAGTTCTTGGAATAATGGGAATTTTGAAATTTCATAACTCATTGGCCAATGGCAAAGAATTACAAAGAAATAGAATCATCATCAATGTATTAAACTGTACTAAGAGTGAAGTTTATGATCAGTGTGGTTTTACTTCATAAGTTCCCCAAATATCTCTGTGTTTTAAGCTTTTTTGTCACGTTTTTCTATCGCTCATTTCTCTCCTCTATTTTCAATGGAATCTTCGCACATGTTCCCTGTCCAGCCTTGCAGGACGCAGAGGGTGGAAACGATGTGGTTCAGTGCTGCTCTCTCATATCTCTCACATACACAATCCCCTGTCAATCCAGAGCTCCTTCTGTGGAACAACAGGCTTCATATCCTGTCAGATGGCGATGCTGCAGCTTGAGCTCTGATTAGTTGAGCTTAGCCCGCACTCCAGAATACCACAGCCAACTAGGCCACTCGTCTTTTTGTTACCATAGAGACTAGAAACAGTCATGCCTTTGAAATCCTGCTTGATTCACCATTCACTACAATATCATCCCCTCAATAGGACAGGTGCTGTTAGGGTGTCTATCTGGTATTTCTGTGCTGCATAAAGACAGGCAGTGATAAATAATGCAGCACCTATATGATTACAGCCATTCAACAGTCCTGCAGGGTTGGGTTATAACTTTTCTAATACATGATTGTCAAACCTCTGCGGCAGTGCTGATCAACTATTGGCAGCTGCCAATTCCTTACGCCCCCCCGAGGAGAAGGCAGAGTGTGTACCTGCCCAAGACAAGGTGCCGACCGTGAACCTTAGCTGCCACTTGGGCTGCAACCAGGCATTTGTGCGCTGCTGCAACCACCTCAGTCACCAAACCCGGCCAGAATGAACTGCCTCAGCTCTGTGCTAATGGACTCATTCTCAATGATGGTAGCCAAGATTTCACAAGCTCATGCTTTTCATCGGTGTTTGAATTCTGCAAGTAATCGATGTAGCGTACATCCCCATTCTGTGTAGCCGAAGGCCCAGCAGGTGTTCAGTGCAAGCACAGCACCAGCCAGCAGTGCTGCCCTAGGGTGGAATAGCACCCCCACATCTGCTGACCATGAAGATGAATGGTGCTTCCTGTTAGGGAGAAGCACAGTGTTTCCAGAGCTGTTAAACGCACAAGATATTCACACAAAATTTTCAGACTTGCTCACAACTGCTTCTCAGGCTGAGGCGGAGAGTACACTATGTAGACAAAAATATTGGGACGCACCTCTTAATCACTGAGTTGAACTGATTCATTCAGACCCATTGACACAGGTGTATAACATCAAGCACCTAAGCCATGCAGTCAGGGTTACAAACATTTGTGAAAGAATGGGTCATTCTGAAGAGCTCAGTGAATTCAAGTGTGGTGCTGTCATAGGATGTCAGCTTTGCAATAAGTCAGTTTCTGAAATTTCTTCCCTGCTAGATATTCTATAGTCAACTGTTAGTGGTATTATTGCAAAGTGGAAGCATTTAGGAACAACAGCAACTCAGCCATGTAAAGTAACAGCAGGGCTGCTGAGTGCTGATGCGCGTAAAAGACGTCAACACTCTGTTGACTCAGTAACTGCAGAGCTCCAAACTTCCTCTGGCATTAACTCCAGCACAATAACTGTGCACCAGGAGCTTCATTGAATGGGCTTCCATGGACGAGCAGCTGCATGCAGGTCCCATATCACCAAGCGCAATGCCATGTGTCGGATGTAGTGGTGTAAAGCGCACTGCCACTGGACTCTGGAGCAGTGGAAATGTGTTCTGTGGAGTGATGAATCACGCTTCTCTGTCTGGCAATCTGATGGATGAGTCTGTGTTTGCCGGATGCCAGGAGATTGTTATCTGCCCAACTACATTATGCCAACTGTAAAGTTTGGTGGAGGAGGGATAATGGTATGGGGTTGTTTTTCAGGGGTTGGTCTAGGCCCCTTAGTTCCACTGAAGGGAACTCTTAAGGCTTCAGCATAGCAATATGTTTTGATCAATTCTATGCTTCCAACTTTGTGGGGGGAGACTCTCTGTTCCAGCATGACTGTGCCCCAGTGCACAGAGCAAGGTCCATAAAGACATGCTTGGGTGAGTTTGGTGTGGAAGAATTTGGCCCACGGAGCCCTGACTGCAACCCCATTGAGCACCTTTGGGATGAACTAGAATGGTCCAACATCAGTGTCTGACCTCACAAATTATCTTCTGGATTCCCACACACACTCCAAAACAGTGGCAAGCCTTCCCAGAAGAGTGACAGCTGTTACAGCTTCAAAGTGGGAGACCAACATCATACTGATGCCTATGGATGTCATAAAAATTCCTAATACTTGTCCATGTAGTGTATACTGCCTGAAGAGCCTGCTGTCCATCCCAGGTTGCTGGAAAATCAAATAAGGCTTGAGATGTTGCTCTCCAAAATGAGCATTTTTGCAATTTTAGGATATTCATTCTAAACTCACAAAATGTTTCCCAAAAATGGAAATTAAAAATAGAGAATAACATTATGGACATACTACACAAGACAGAAGTAATTTATTAAAACTAAGCAAATGATAAAAAATGCAAAAGCCCCACTTTTGAAAATTCAAATATTATTTTTACAGTGAGCTGCTCCGATTTTAACATAAAAGGTTAAAAAGAAGAATCAAAGACCTTGGGCTGTTCCTGTTTCCCTACAATGATTCTTGAAAGGAACTGAAAGTCAGTGCCAGACAGTGCACGTGCACACTTTTCACTGTCAGAAGTGTTTAATATAAAACATAAGTAGGTCACAGAAACCGAAGGCATCATACAGCTGATGGAGTCAAAGAACAACAAGAATTTGAGTGATAACAGACCCCTAAAACAAAACCAAAAATAATTCCTAAAATGTTGAAAACTTCATAACTAATAAAATGCATAGAACACTTACACCACCATGATCCAGTTGACTAGAAAGAATTTTCACATTCTCTGCTAGAAAATAGTCGCCTGTCCTGCCATCATTCAAAATGAACTCTTACCTCCCAATTCAGGTGTTAAGTAACTATGACAGGTTGAGGATGAACGGCCGTAATATCATTCCTCTCCCCTAATTTTCTGTTTATCACACATGTTCATACACCTACGCTCCCTCACATAGCCACAAACTGTTCCCTTATACAGTTGCACGCTATTTATAAAAATAGTAATGTGCCATATCTTTGGTTTGAGGGTTCAACACAGTCCTGTAAGACTTGTCGGACAGGGTTACACACAGCTGTGAGGTCTGTCTCGTGATCCAGGATCGGGGATGACATTTGGGACAGACACTGAATGTGCTCTTTGCTTTTTACTTTATCTTTGGTACTCAGAGGGAAAAAAAAAACACTGAAAACAAAAATACAGGCATTAAAATCTAAACTTATACAACAAAAAAACCCTTTATAAATATAAAAGACAAAGCAGTGGTCTGCTGCAGTCCTAAATGAACAAGACTTCTTAAAAATGAAAAATTAAGTTTGGTGTTTGTTATAGATGTTTAAAGCTGCAGCAGAAGATGACTGCAAGTAACTATTAAAGCCTTGATATCAAGTATTTGTTCAATTGTGAAATTAAAAACAAATTTTGCACCCATAATTAACATAAAGCAGCTAAAACTACCGCCAATTTCACTGTGAAAGCATCAGCAATCAGTGGACAAACTGGCAGCCTCAGTCCTACTTTCTGAAAAACACATCTAACTATAACATTCGTCTGGAGTGAGGAGAAGTTGCTGCAGTCCAGCCTGACCTCCACCCTGGTATCTGGCTGTAGCCAGGAGGCGGCTTTACAGACAGCATGAGGACTGAAGCCTGTCTTACAGAGGTGCCCTAGTTCCTGTCGATTTGTGATGTCGGAATGAACTTGTATAAAAAAACCCGATGAGCCCGTAAAAGAGATGCCATCTTCGGCTTGGAGGTCTTTCGACCTGCTTAAAAACGGTGCAGGGGGATGATGATGTACAACAGTGGCTCTGTCTGAACCACTAAACGTATGTACATATAACCAGTGCTGAAGGGCACATCCATCACACCAAGCTGCCCCTATATATATACCAGTAAAGTATTATTCCACATGGACACTGTATAAAAAGGGCACCTTCCAGTGGAGAAAGCAAGAGCAGTTGTCTTACTCTGAAGATGATTGTAAGATTTGACTAAGTGAATTACATATTGGATTCTGACATTAACAAATTAAATAGCATTTTTTCCAGTTTTAAGGAATTGACTATTCGTGTCTACGTTTTACTTTGATCCCCTTGAAATTTAAAACTGCCTGCAGGTGAAGCTACATGCACAGGAAGAGCCTCTGTAAGGTAACGGATTGTGGGCAGTCCCTGTACTTGAATACCTCCCCCCAAACAAAGCAGATCAGGGGAGTGCTTGGGAACTGAAATTCATGCCCGGTGCCAATCTGGGCTCCAGGGGCCCCACGGAGGACTGGCAGCGGTACCTCGCACAGCCATATGCTGGAGAGGACGCTGCAAGAGGCCCTGTGTACGAGACACGATGAGCCACCTGAAACCACGGTGTTAGAAAAACAAAAAAGGAGCCATAATTTGAAAACACTACAAAGAAGTACATTTCTTTCAGCATTTAACAGTCACTCGGCAGTCTGGTGACACATTGTGTCGCTGTCGGATGTGCTGGACCGCCCAGGCGTGTCTCAGGGGTTAAGGTCTGTTGCTGCTCTCCTTCAGGAGAAGCCAGGAACGCCCGCCTCAGCACTGTCCTCCTGGTCATCATCTGGGTCTCCGTTCGGGCTTCCGAGGTCAGAGCTGCAGTCCTCAGTGCGTAGTGGGGCCAGATCGCCCTCCTCAGCCATGGGCTCCTCTTTAATATCTCCGTCGTTCCTGAGGAGGCAACAGGCAAGTTAGGGCAGATGAAGTAACCACAGTGTTGGAATACTCTGCATTTTTCAAATAATAAACAAACATGCTATTTACTTTAAACTTCAAATAAGTCCCCGAGTATGAGAAAACATAAGGCCTTCAAACCTTTTAAAACTTTTTTTTTTTTTAAAGTACTGAAATAATTCTAGGCTATCAGATGGCACATTCTAAGTGTTGTTTACTGCACTGAGAGCTACTTCACTTGCTCTCACTTTTTAAATAAATCTTATTAAATATTAAATGCAAGACTGGTGTGAGACAGGGACAACAGGAGGGAATTCTATAGTGGAGCTATTCCTCTGATGTACTGGGTGTGTTGGTAGGCAGATAACAGCAACGTTGGGGTAAAATGAAAGCAAGATGCCCGGGGGGGAGGTCCACTGTTCTACTTAAAAAAAATAACTGTAAAAAAAAAAATGGCTGTTTTTGCATTCAGGTAGAGCCAAGTAAGAACTCTCCTTCACACAGTATGAAAACATCAGGGGGAGGAGCCTGAACTTAGGCATCTGAGAGCTTTGATTGTTCTTCCACAGAGGAAAAGGGCAGCTGAGACACTAACAGGGCCGGCAGGGCAGAGGGGCCGGGACTGTCGTCACTGTCCACACTGTCCTCGGTAAATCCGTTGGCATCCTCGTGGGGGAGAGAAGGCTGAGAGAGCAGAGGAGGACTTCCTGTAAGGGCGGTAGTGTAGAAAGGGATGTTCCTGTCTGCCGCTGAGGTCTGAATGGGCAGAAACAGATGCAGATCTCACATATATGTACAGAGCACATAATAATACTACTACTACTACTACTACTACTACTACTACAGTGGGACCTCCGTATCCACAGTTTCGGTATCTAGTGTCTCGAGAATTGAGCTAAAGTCAGAACCCCTTTCATTTCAGAGAGTACAAAACTGTACAATAATCTAAAATGTACTTTATTTTTACTGTATTTAATGCTGGTAATCTCTGTGTGTACTTTACCAATTAATTTTCACCATATGTATGTACATGAGAATTACATTATATATGGGATCCACGAATGGTTCGCTATCATCTCCAGTTTTGTGACTATCTGAGGTGGGCACTGAAATGTATCACCCGCAGATGGGGGGGGGGGACTACTCTAGTTGTACTGTTAGTAGTAATAAATGAATAATAATAATAATAATCCTCATCATCGCCACTGTCATCATCATTCTTTAGGCTATTGCTTGTTGTTATAGGAGATTCAAAGCTGTGCTCCAATGAAACATAAAGATATCAAACATACACACATTAATAATATTACTACTTTTACATTTTATTTATCTGGCAGACACTTAGATCCACAGTGATATACAATCGAGAAGCCAGGGCCAGAGAGTCTCTGGAGGACCTGGGAGTTAAGGGCCTCGCTCAGGGGCCAATGGTGACATCACTCTGCTGATCCTATGACAAGAACCAGTGACCTTCTGATCAAAGGTACAGCCTCCGGATTCCTTTGTTCAAAGTCAATCTACTGTGTGTTGTTTTGTATCTCTCTATGCTTTATGCAAGTATGAACTTTCAGAATATAAATCTAACAGGCAGTGACTGTGGGGTTCCAGCATCATGAATCTAATCACGCTCCTACCTCAAAAGCAGAGCTGTAGGCTGGGCTGTAGGTTAGACTGGTCGTCATATTTTTCATCAGGGCAGGAGACCTATAGGTCAGAACACACAATCACACTGAAAAGACTGACTTGATGTACTTGCACTTACTGTAAATACTTCCATTTTTCTACATTTTAAAAATGGAACGCTTAGAAAAACAAAACGCAATATTCTTATTCTGTGCTAACTGCTCAAGGGCTCAAAGGAACTTTAGCAAGGTCCACAAAATCCTTTCTGCCACTCGACTGTGGATATTTTTATAATGTTCACAAAACGAGAAATTTTTTTCCCTCAAAACTGTTTCCTCACGACAGGAGAATAATACTGACAAAAGAAACTCAACAAAATAAGGACTATAAGTGCTATAAGTTTATTAAGTAATGTATCATCTATACCGTTATGTATCATCTATACGTTATGTATCATCTATACCGTGTGCCAATTCTAACTGAAAAATTATACTGGCAAACTAACGTATTTCACATACTTCCCATTTAGATCAAAAATATTTATTTTTAAGCCTTGTGCACCATGTTTAGTATATGATAATTGTAAGCAGAATTAAGTAAATATAGCACAAAATGAAATATGAATTGAAAATAACTTGAAAAATTAACAGAAAATTATTAACTAGCAGTATTTAATGCTTTTTATCAGTCTTTCTGAGTTCACCGCGGTGCTAATCCTCACACATTTTACTCTTCTCTCCAGCTGTTTTTATTGGTCTGTTAGCGGCCTAACGAGGGAAGGGGGGCTGGGCTCCGATCAATACAGCAGGACCCTGCCTGATCCAGGCAGCATCCCTGCACTGTGTGCCGGCCAAACCAAAGCCTAGAGTGTCCAATCAGAGGGCAGCTGCAGAGCAGCACCAGGCAGCTTCTCAGGAGAGCTGTCAGGCAGCCCTGATCCCCAGAACCGCCGGAACAGCATTAGACACTGACAGAGCAAAGCCGAAGTGATACAGCCGGATGCATGTTTGCTTTTTAGTAGTAGTATCACTGGGATATCTCAAAGGCAGACGCTGCAGTGAACATCTGCTCAGGGGAGACACAGCAGAGCTCTGCTAACCCTGGAGCAGCAAGCGGGGGGGGGGGGGGGGGGGGGGGCAGGGAACAGGAACACAGGCTTGAGAAAGAAAAGCAAGCAGAGAGCAGTGCAGTCAAGGCGGGGGAGAGACGATTAAAGCAAAGCCTGAGACAGACGAAGTACTCTCTCCATTAGAGCAGCCTTAAAAGCTTCAAACAGAGGTACAGGGGGGATACTGGCCATTCTGTTCCAAACCCAATCAATGCCAACCAAGTGGCACCACACAAGCACAAGGCTTACTTACCCACTCATCTTCTGCGGCCGTCTCTTCTGGAACTCCATCTCGTCCACCGTCCACACGGCCCCCTTCACGTTCTCTACACGCACAAAGCACTTGTGGAGGCTGAGATTATGCCGGACTGCATTCTGAGGTCAGGGTTGGAGAAGGAAAGACCAAAGATGTCAAGTTCAAAGTTCACTTGTGATACAAGAACAAGAAGTATTATGTGATGGACAAATGTAAAAATCTGACACATACAGTGCCTCTACTATCCAGCTGTGTTTATAGTCTTCACTAAAATATAACATGAACCAAAAATGAAATATTTAGCTATATAATATTGTTCAATATGAATATTAATGTGTAGTATGACAGCACAGTGCAAAGGACTATGGTGGAGGGGAACTGGCATCTGCAGGTTACTCACAGTTTGTGTGTGTGCGTGTGTGTGTGTGTATGTGTGTGTGTGTGTGTGTGTATGTGTGTGTATGTGAGTGTGTCCTGCTTTGTACTCCGAAGACTCCAGACTTCCTCATTATCCTGTACTTGATAAGCCGTTGGCAGATTGATACATAGAAAAATCAATACGGACGCACAACATGGAAGTACTCAAGGATACAAAGGTTATTTAAAAAGACATGTTTTAAAAATGCCAGTTAAGGGAGATGGACAGTCAGTGAACACCTGAATGCTGTCAGCATTGCTTAGATGAACCAGTAACAATTTAATCAAAAACTGGAAAATGAAGGAAGCAAAAAGCAGTCAAGTCATACATCTATCACAGGATAAGTGCAGTCTAAGGTTTGCCAATGAGGACATACACTTTTAGGAGAGAATTAAGTTATTTTTCTTAAAGGTGCCATTTTTAACAGTTAAAACCATGCATTCTCAATTTTTCTTGCTGTTACCTTCCACGTGGCTGTGTTTCGCCTGAAATAAGCGAAAGTCCGTGTGAACCAGTTGTAGATTTCGTTTAGTGTCAGCTGCTTTTCTGGAGATTCCAGAATTGCCTGGAAGCAGACAAAAATGACACTTTCAATGCGTCTGCTGTCACAGAACCTGGACTGTCAGGCAGGAGGAAGCAGCGTATCTATACTGGGTGTTTCCTCCTAGTTTGCACTTTTAAACAGATGAAATTCACACGCAATCCTCACAATTCTATCAGCCTCCTCATGCTAGAGAATCAGAGCAGCTCCTTACCTGCCTTATTAGGGAGGCGTATGTGAATGGGGGTCTTACTTCGGTGCTCTTGTAGAACTCCTTATTCTGGACCATGTCTGTCAGAAAGAGACATGAAAAATAGAGTTTTTAAGCTGATAAACACTGTAAAAAGCAGACATGAGTAAGGCCTCTGGCTTGTCTCCACTTTGCTGCAGAGTGGGTGTGGACAAAAACATGTGGGGATCTTACTTACTGGAAGAATGAGAAATATCCAGACCAGCCAGCAAAGGGCAGCATAGAGCAGTCAGTGGTACAGACTCGCCTGCGGACAGGGGCATGCTGCACTTGTCCGAGTAGCGCTTCCTCATGGGGCCCACGGCAGGCGGACTGTGGCCGCTGATGATGGACAGGTTCTGGGGGAGGGGCATCGCTGGGTTCTGGGGGGAGCTTAGAGGCGGAGAGGCCTCTGGGATGCTCACTTTGGAAAGGGCGGAGTTGGACACCAGGTTCAGCTGAAATGAAGCAGAACAGAAAGCTTGACCGTACCTCCATGACCTCTGACCGCAGGGACAAAGTGACGCTAACACCTAAGACCTTGTCAGCTGGAAGATGATCTGAAGCCATGATGCTCCTACTTCACATAAAAAAGCTCTATGGTTCTTCTGCTGTGCCAGCTACCGTTTGCTCTCCAAGTCTTACTCCAGCCAGTGCTTCTGAGCTCAGTCCTCAGACTGCAATGACATCCATGTTTCTTCTGTTCTACCACTTGACTTTCCTTGTCAACTAATTATAAACACCTTGAGTACCAGGTGATGGTGGCAGTGGTGGTGGAGGTGGGCTGAGGACTGAGTTCAGAGTCACAATTTTATGCTCCAGGCTCCGAGCACATTCATCCAGGTAAGGGGAGGGGGAGGGGGGGGGGACGCTTTCGACAGAGAGTCGGCATCAGAAAAGAAAAGCAAGATTCCAATCAGTACAAACTACAAAACCTGCACGTACCAGGGCAAGGGGTTCTGGTTGTACACAATTACTTAATGTGGTGAAGCCTGGGTTGCCATAGTCACAAGATCAATGAGCAGCGAGCACCATACAAGCATGCTGACGCCGAGCGACTCTTAGCCACACCAGAAGTGAAACTTGAGAAGAATGAAGAAACTGTGCCTTGAAGGAAACAGAAATAAGGAGGAGGGATAAGTGCTCCTACAGCACCTCCGCGGCCTGCTGCTCGCGGCCTGCTGCTCGCGGCCTGCTACTCTCGGCCAGCGCTCTGACTACTTATCCACTCTATCTCCCGAAACAGAAACCAGAAAGCTACAGATGCCCTTGAAACTCAGGAAACATAAACCGTAATTAACGCTTTATGCACGTGGGAGAATTTACACTCAGATGTGAAAATGGCGTAAGTGCGTTTTCCTGTCATTCGCTGCCTTAGCAGTGCCATTTGGTTGGCGTAAACACCAGCCAGCGGGCTCGTTATCACAGTCAAACAACTGCTCCCAAGCTTGCCAGCAGTCAGCACAGGTAGCCATAAAAGGACCACACAGGAAGCCAGGCGCCGTGCGTCTCTGGCCTGCTGACTGGCATCCCTCTGCATCTGGAGGACTCAGCATTACCATCTGCTGCAAGAACTTTTTATGGCTCAAAACAATTTAGGGGAAATTAAAAAAACACTAATCACTCTATACCAGAGCATTTACAGAGTGCTACCTTAATAAAGAACACTATAAAATTGGTTTGCGCTATTATTTATATGCACAGGGAAGCCTTTGATCAACATCAACAAGCATAGCATACGGGACACGTATCCCTTTATACAGCCAGATACTGTTTTCTCTGTGTGGTAAGAGTGTTTCCTCCAGAATCTGCAGCCATGTAAGATGCCCAGCACAGGTGATATGTGGTGCTGGTATATAGACGACCATCTGCTGTGACAGCATTCCGATCTAAAAGCCAGCCTGGACATTCTGAGCTCACAGATTTATCATTTAAGGTTAATGTTGTACCAGTGGAAGTCACACCGGATGCCCAATCCAACCACAAATGCATACACAAATGTGCATGCACATTTACAAACACATACACAGTTGAAACAGTTTCAAACCGTTACTTCCCTAGCTTACCAGAAACACTTCCCCAAATGCGCATAAGGGGTAATTAACCGTCTGATGGACTGATTGCTGCTACTCACTGGTTGAGAGGCTGGCTTGGCCTCAGTGGATTTCACATGCAGGTGAGTCATCATGGCCTGTAGCCGTTCCCGGTCCTTGGCCAGCTGTGGGCAGATGGGAGGCATACTGTCACACCAAGAACGAGAAGAGATTACTCTAAAACAGGCTTGAGCAGGAAAAGCAAGCAGGCCAAGTGAGGGGGGGGGGGGGCTCAGTAAGCTTCATTAATGCCACCAGTGACAAAAACAATATACATCAATGTGGGAACGCTGTGATGCAGGACTGCGAGATAGTGACCGTTGACAGTTGGAGTTTCTTCACAGCCCTCTACCTTTCCTCTACCCAGCCCAACACAGCATTTTGATTTAAACTGACCAGATCATAAGTGCTAGAGAGTCTCTGTGTCGGTGGTTTAACTTTGGATGCAATTCCTAAGCAGCAGAGAAAGAAAGAGACCCTCAAAAACAAGGAAGCACAAGAGAGAGAAAAAAAAGGATTACAAGCAAATCATGTTGCAGAATTTGCACAGCCACTGCATTCCAAATGCTGCTTCGCTTGCACTTGCAGTGCACATGCTCCCGCAATCTTCTTTTATTTTGCAGGGAATCCATATCCAGTTTCACTGGGGGACACCCCCAAAGAAGCTGAACTTAACATGCCTTTGTGCCACAGGTTAGAAAGATATATTACTGCCGTATGACCAGAAGGCAGCAGAACTTTAATTCTAATTATCTGCATTCAACCTGCCAGGCTTAACTGTGTGTGTGGAACAAAAATAACCACTGCACTCGTCTCCCTTTCATAGCCTGGATATTGAAATGAAGCCAGTAGGAAGCATTTGGCACAAAGTTTCTTGGTGCCTCAGAAAGTGTAATTTCTGAATGTGTTTATGGGGCCCGTTGAGGCACAGGGAACCCGAAATAGTGTCAAAAACCCCACTGGAGAATGTACGCGAATGCAGCTCCACATGAAAAGCGGCATCGTGCGTGACTCAAAGCGCGGCCTCCTGTCAGCAGATAAGGCGAAGCGAGTGGGGAAATGCGCTGCTGGCTTTAATGCACTTGGCACTCGCGCACTGCACACATGCGACAGTTTCACGTGCATGTGTGCGGAATCCTGCACCACGTGTGCCTGCAGGCGGAGCACCGCGATCGGTAGAGCTGTGTTAAATCTCCGGCTGTCAGGCTGCATTTCTACAAGGCAGGAGAAGCTTGGCAGCGGGGGGTGGGGGGGCTTGATGATGCCCAGGGGGTGGGTTTGTGGGCGCAGCATACCTGCAGCTCCAGCTGCTGCACGACCTGCATCTGAACACGGCACTGCGCTGTGCTCCGGTCATCCAGCGTGTGCTCACTGTGCAGGTGCCTGCAGGACAGACAGACAAATTCATATCCGGAAATACCGTTTACCTTGAACATTTATTTTCAATAAGAATTAAAACGTTGAGCAGAACATTAAGATGAAGACTGAATAATTGCATCAATTAATGTACTTACATTTCTTTAAATTCAAACAGGTTAGATTAGTCACATGTAGGCTTGCAACATCATGAGAATTTCACGGTATGATAACCATATCAGCAATTATCACGGTTTCATAATATCACAGTGTACGGTATTTCACAATTATATAATATTATTATTATTAGTTATAATGACCCACAGAGGAATGAAAACAAGGGATTTTTTGGTTGAAAAAAATGCTGTATTATAGTTGAAACTTCAATATATTTTTAAATGGATGTGTAAAAACACTTTTTTAAAATAAAATAAGAATGCTGCACATCTCACATCTCATGTCTGAACAAAAGAAATAAGGAGGGAAAAGGAGAAGGACCTTTAAAACTATCTCTCTTTAGAAAATCAATAAAACGTCGCTATCAAGCTAAATATACATTATGATTCTAATAAAACATGTGTATTTCACATAATAATTAATAAAAACACACCTTTTTAAAAACTTTCACAAATGTAATTTATTGATGTAAACACTTGCTGCTGTGATAAAGGCTTTGCACAGATTTTTCAGATATTTTTTTCTCAGCTGATACTGACAGGCACCTTGGGGTAAATGCATGGTTGCCATGGAAACTGGCAAAAACAGCTTCATTAGCAAGTGAAAAGCGAGGTGGTTAGTTATTACAGTGGTAACACTGATACAATTATCTAAAATTCTCATGCTATCCCCACATCATTCCAGGCCATTCGGGCATCGATCCCAGCATTCCCAGTTTTAGATAAGGAGTTTCTGACTGACTGTGTGCTTGTTACTTTTACATTATAGTTCTTTTAAAAGTTATATTATATACATACATTACAAGAAAACAATAAACAACTATGAACGTTTCTTTATGGAATTTATGGTGACATCAGAGCTCTAGGCCATGGTCAATCACTGTACAACTGCCAGGCTTTGTGACAGCTGGATTTTGATGACCTTAAAAACCTGGAATTTCACCTAAAACTGCCATTGCCAAATGAGGAAACACTACTCAGCCTGTGACCTCAAATAAACGAGCTAACAAATAAATTTCTAAGTAACCAAGCAAATAAATAGATAGACTGAAAGAAAGAAAGAAAGAAAGAAAGAAAGAAAGAAAGAAAGAACAACTGTACCACTAGGGGGAGTAGTGGGAAAATAACACTTGTTTACCTTCAACAGTTGTTTACCTTCTGAGGTGGAGATTTCGGGTCCAGAGAGTACAAATCCAGACTAGGATTTTGCTTCAACCACCCAGCTGAGTATAAAGAGTCACAGTCACAGAGAACTCGACTATTTGGTTGAAACAAAATCTTGATCTGGATTTGTACTCTCTGGACCTGAAATCTCCAACTCTGTTTACCTTCACAACAACAAAGACAACAACCCAGGAGTTAATGACAGAAGGACAGAAACAGTGCTACTGTATCTCTAGGGAGTTAATGCTGGGAGGAGGGTGACTGTGCTACTCACTTGAGAAAGGACCGAATGTTGTCTAACACGGCCTCACAGCCCGGCCACTTGCACACACCGTGACCGTAGAGGGGGTGACTCTCACTGGAGTGGTTATCCTGTGTGGAACTGTCAGAAACATACAGACACAGATACATGAGCATGGTGAGTGACAGTGTCCCCCCCAAAAAAACACACACACACTTGCATGAACGCACATGTCGTAAACACACACACACACACACACACACACAGCAATTGTGCTGTGCTGCCAGAAAAAGGAAAAGCACACACAAACAAACTCACAAATTCCTTATCATATATGCCCACAGACAAACAAACAGAGCCCATTTGCCAGTCACCCATGCCAGTAAAGAAAACATTAATTTCCCACAACGTTTCATTAAGTGCCAAGTAGAGCCTTGTTTATGGTGTACTTAAAATAATCCATTTTCCAACAGAACATAATTATATGATAATTCGCCCAAAGAGATGAACAACAAGATGCTAAGAAAACGGCGCAACGGAAGTTGCATCATACAGGAAGCGGCTGTGTTGGGCCGCATTCATGCTGACCCCTGAACTTCATGGAAAAAGGACATGTATCTGGAAATGTATTAGCCAGCATGAATTTTATCTTCTTTTTATTACTTTAATAAAAATGTTTTGCAGGTGCCAACATTTCTGCCAGAATATCTCTTGGTCACTTTTTAGCATGTTTGCTTCTTAAGACCATGAGTAAATTGCTCACAATGCAAATTAAATTCCATTTGAGGAAACAACATCTCACATCTCCTGCAGTCACAGACCGGAATGTCTCATTTTAACACAGCTCTCCTGTTACGGCTTTCGTGAAACGCAGCCAAACTGCAGCACCATCGCAGGTGCCTGGGACCTTTAAGGAAACCGCGGATCAAATTCAGAATTGTTGATAGGGGGGCTCTTCATTTAGGTGGGGGGAAAATGTGGGGCCTCTTGTTCACCATCGGTGACAGGGACTGAATCCTTCCACACCCTGGAGAAAGAAGAGCTGATTGCCCCATGGATTTACAATTTTGGCATCCAGGGGGTGTGGACTCACAGTGAGAGACTGGTACTGTAACAGGCCTGAGATACGATGAGTAAATACCTCACTGGCCAACTGAACAACAGAGACACAAGCCTCACAAAACGCTCACAAACAACAATCGAAAAGTCCCCTGGATGATTACTGCAGGACCCTGAATATCCATCACACATGAAAGATTTACCCAGATGTATTATTATAATATCCCCAGCAGACACAATTACTGCTTGTCTCAAAGAAATGTAAAGCAACCAAACCGCCTCTATCCAGCTTTCCAAATTCCTCTTCAAGACATTAAGTAACACTGTCATGTGCAACACAAGGTGTCTAATTATAATTATGTAACAGAGCAGTACGATGAGCATTACAGTATACAGTATGTACACAAAGCTCACAGGGCACAGTCACCTGTGAAAATATACCGTTTAATGCACATTCCTCAGCATTTTCTAATCTGAGATGTTTTTCCTCCCCTCCATCCAACGTTCAACAGCTTTGTTCTATTTGCAGATAATAAGCAACACAATTTACCGTCAAGATAAAAGCAAAGAAAGACTAGAAAAAAATAAGAATCAGACATTGACTCTGCTATATAAGAACACAAGAAGCAGACTTAGAGAGGTTATTGTATGACTGAATATATGGATCTACATGACAGAAAGGCAGGGGAGACTGTGACGGCGGTCTATCGCAAGGTGGGAATAATGCATATTAAATACCCATTCGTTAAATTCTGAGACTTACAACTGCAAATTTAGGTCTTTGGCTTCTATACCACTTATAATGTATTTCCATCCATCCATCCATCCATCCATCCATCCATGGAGTGCCAGTGGTTATATATCCGTGTTACCTTTCCCTCTTTGGGGCCCGGGCTGCGTGCTGCCCGTTCACAGAGGTATGCTGGTTGTAAGATGCGTCTTTACGAGCCGCTGGGTGGCTGGTGGCAGCCGATGGCTGGTCCTCCTTGCCGTGGTGTCCAGATCCGTCCTCCTCTTTCATTCCTTTGCCCTTGGCCTCACAGGGCAACTTGGCTTGAATCAGACCTGCAAAGGATCGTTTAAACAGGCGATTCTCACTTCATCAAAAAAAAAATCTCTGAACGACGCTGCATGACTAAGCTGCAAACACTGGCTGCACCGTTTCACAGATCTAACTGTCGCTTATGCAGCTGGCAACTTACAAAGTATGCAGATGCAATATGTGCCGTATATACATCTCAAATCTGCTTTCACAATCAATCACTGAAAATAGCCAACAAAGACTTTTGATTTTCAATCTGCAGCTTCTTTTATGATATTTATATGGGATCAAAAGCAAAACTCATAATGTCCTGTACTGTGCTGAAGTCTTAGGCAGTCAAAGGAAATGTATACAGCTATTAATCTGAGTAGTAAGGGTATATGCGTTCAGAACGAAAAGCACAATTTAACAATGGAACATATGAAGATTAAGAATAACAACAAAAATTAACTAGAATTTCTCAAAAAAAAGTTACCAGTTATTTGATCGCTAGAAGAACACCACTTCAGTTCTCAGCCCTCTCCTCAGAGGCACTCCAGCCATTCCGCTATTTGTTACATTTCACATCCAGCTTAATGGATCAATCAATCAATCAAACTGGTTTTAACAAGTCAATGAGATATCGATTAGCCATATGAGGTGGGGTTGAGTCAAAATGGATGGATGGTTGCTGCAAATAATTTTAGGTGAGATTTTGAAATTGCTAAGCTGACACACTTTGACAGACAAAATGTCAGTTTTACACCAACATGAAGATCATTTAAACATCATTCTCTTTGACTGCCTAAGACTTTTGCACAGTACTGTACCTAGCAACTAGATTAGCTAGAAAGTTGATCTTACTGAAGTAAAATACCTGAATCTGTGAGGGTCCCCATTATAGAGTGAAAAAACCCTGTTATTTATATGTTTCGCAAGAGACAGAAAAGAGCCCACTACTCTCTGGTGTGGTTCTTCACGGTCTGGCAACGGCACTGGCGTGATGGAAAGGACGGGGTCTCACCCTGAGCAAGCGGCAGCGACAGGCCGCTCTGACAAGGCTGGATGGACAGCAGGCCCTGTCTCTGCAAGCTGAGCAAGTGCTGCTGTTGAACCTGCAGGAGCTGCTGCTGTAGAGCTACCTGCTGAGCGGAGACCTGATGGGGACAGAGAGCAGGAACGTGGTGAGGCTCCATGCGTTAATGCAGCATGCAGTGATACTGATCATTAGGAGTCATAGTACTATACCAGCATAAGAGACCATTCTATATATATATATTTTAAATCTGCATTTTTAAAACCTGGTTTAATCCTGATTCTGCTGGCAGAAGGCTACACTGCGAGGCAGCTGCTTCCAGGCTCAAAGTTTCTAAGACAGCAGAACACGAGAACAAAGTGAAGCAGGAGACACGGGCAGTGACCACAAACCAGCATGGCAGAGGGCAGAATCAACTTTCTAATGCCAGAGATGACCGTCAACTTATCCGGCAGTGTCTCTTAAATCGGTGGATGACCTCAAGTGACCGTCAAAAAAATGGGAAACATTAAGTGCAGGTGTGAAGTGCACTGTTAGGACGATTCATGACCGGCTCCTAGAAGCAGGACTGAAGACCCATAAAGCAAGGAAAAAGCCCTTCATCAATGAGAAGCAGGGAAGGGCCAGGCTGAAGTTTGCAACAAAAATGCATATTTTACACACATACACACCCATAAATTGAGAAATGAGTGAAAGTGAAAATTTTGCTGTGGTCTGTTAATTTTTTCCAGAGCTGTATGTGTACATGTGTAAATCTGGAGTGTGTCACACTCATATGACAAAATGATTTTCAAGTAATGACTAGACCCGAAAAAAACAACTGTGAAAAAAAAATCACAATCATCATCATCATCAGATAAATGTATCTCATAAGGAATAAGGTCTATCAGTCTTGCTTTGTTCCATACAGTGTTTTCTTCTACAGTACAGTCACCTTATACACTAATCAATTTGGTGGTGATTCATTCAGATTACTTTCCAAAGAAAATGATACCTAATTTGTTCGGTCTGCATTTCAATTTCTGTTAGTGATGGGCGAACTATCTGTGTCTTACTTTGGGTTTATGTGTAAAGAAACTATTTTCAAGATTTTTTTATGAGTGAGCACAACTAGCAAACTATGAACAAGGGAATGGGTGTATATATTAGTACTGTCTCAAAGGTTTAACTCCTTCTGTGTTGCTTCACTGAGGTCAGTTGGAGGGGGTGACGGAGAACACGAACACAGGGTGAACAAGCAGCCGGGAGAGTGAGACAGAGAGGGAAAGCTGGAACGAGGCAGATGAAGGAGAATGGGCGGCAGTGCCAGATTAGATATTAAGTTCAAGGTCTTTGAAAATGCTTATTGTTTAGAGGCAATACAGAGCAACAGAAGGTCGCTAACCGGCAGGCAGCCGAAAGCGAGAAGCGGAAGGGAAGAGGACTAGATGGCTGTCAGAAATCTGAGCTGCCACCGAGGGCAAGGATTTCCTGTGATCATAAAATACAGCACCCTCCGCATAAATCTCCCATTCAGCAGACTAATTGCATTTCCTCTAAAAAAGTTCTCCAGCTTACGGAGATAGTCTCGTAAGACAGGTCTGAGATGGAGAGATTGAGCGGAGAAATTTGTGCTATCAAGCTAGTCGCGGAGACACACATGCAGGTGCGGGCAGAAGCTTTCAGTACAGTGGGTGGGGTGCCTAGTACTCCAAGTGCAAATGTATTCATGTCCCACACAGTGGTTCATCTTCAATCACTTCCAAAGATTAAAGAACAACAACTGCAGAGAGCTACTCCCTTAACAAGACCATCTGAGTTGAATACAACGTCTGGGTGCCTGATTAGACCTCAACAATGAAAAAGGTCCCAAATATTAATAAAGGCTATACCTTGAGATGCACAGCAAGTCTCAAACCAGCTGTTAGACTACTGTAATGCTCTGTGATCTGGAGGCACACAACACATTAAACACCGTGCAGCATATTCAAAATGCAGCAACTCAAATTGTCTCCAAGAGCAGGACGTTTGGACACATTACTCCTGCTATTAGCTCCTTGCACTGGCTTCCTGTTCGGTTCAGTCATTAATTAAAAAGCCCAGAGTTCTCCCACATATAAGGCACTTAAAGGTCCAGCACCTGCCTATCTAAGAGAACTACTTCAAGTCTACAAGCCGCAGTCTCCACTCAGATCAGAGAATGCAAGCTTCCTTGTCATTCCACATGTAAACAAAGTAATAGCTGACGATAAAGCCTTTTGCTTAGTCCTTCAATGCTGACGGAAGAACCTATTACTTCAGTCTATGTTATCTGCACCTTAATGAATAAATGAACGAAAAAAAATGTTATTGTCATTATAAAATGAAACACTGTTTTGCTACTCTCTGGTCATAAAAAAACACAAGACACCAGATGAATAACATAAAACTGAACACTGGCTAAAGGAAGCAGCATAATGAGGAGAATCCAGCAGCAGTGAGTGCTTTTAGTGCAGATTATTAAAGTCACTGTTCCAGTGTATTCTAACTCTTGGGATTTCTCAAATAATGCTTAAAGTTCAAGCACATATAGTTCACCTCCCAAAATATCGCAGGGTTCACAAACCTAATGCAGTGTTCAGTAATTTAATTTACCTATTCATAATTTTGGACTAACATCATAACACACTGTAACTAAGGCTGCTGGTGCTGCTGTCCATTAATGTGTCTATGCATGTTTTGACCATCCATGCTCTCTGTCTTCATTCCCACATGTCCGGATGGTGCCCAAGGTGGGCAGCATCTGAGCTGGAGTGCTGGTTCAGTCCCATGGAGGGGTGACATTGTGGGTGTGACTTATGAAGAGTGACATCACGGGTGCAGCCTTCAATCTGCCACCCTACACAGGCCAGCATGAAGACCTTGGACCTTGACCACAGTTTACAACAAGCCCACTATTTTATTTTTCATTAATGTTCGCATGCCCTGGGGGTTTGGCACCCATTTGACTTTGGACCTCAGAGAGGTTTCTTTATTCCTACTTGGGAGTTTTTGGTTTCTTTCTTTTTCTTTCTTTCTTGAATTCATTTCTTTGTCTTCCCTTTTGCCTGCTTTTGAATTTTTCTGTATGATTTAGGAATGTATGACAACACACTCACCTTGGGGAATATATAAATAAAGGCGCTATATATAAATAAAATTAATCGAAAAATAAATTGAATGTTTTGTCATTAACACAGAAAACACAACCTTTGCTCTTCTAGTCTCTGTAAAACCTGGTCCAGCTGAGGTGACTTTAAGGGCTGTAATGAACATCCAAAGTCTCGGGAATTCAAGAATCATGCTTAAAATTCAAGCACAAACACAAAAACTGAATACTATTAAGTAGCTAGATCCTGATTGCTATATGAGAAGTTTCTGTGAATTCTATTACTCTGTTCAGTAATAAGACTTCAACACATATAATTAGGATGCCTGATGTTTATACTTTTGTACCACAGATATTATTTTTACCAGCTTTGTTTTATTTTTCAAGCTCTCTTGTTCCATAGCTACCTAGTTTTATGTATTCAGAATATCAAACATGGTAACTCTTCAAAAGACAAACAAATGTAATGATATGGAACTTTAATCGCCAAATCTTCCATAAATTAAAAATGAAGATTAATAACATTCTTCTTGTGTTTCGGGACTAGACCTATTTGATGAACTGTATATAGATAATACACTCGTGATGCACAATTGTTGTCTGTAAACCAGGGAGTCCAGGAAAAACCTTTCCAAAATGCCCAAAGTAAGCAAATATTTTGGGATTTCTACAAAAGGTGAGGCCCATGTGGTTTGCAAGAATTACCTTATGGGGCTTAAATATAGTGGAGGAACCACAAACTTTAGACTAAAACAAAGGAACTTTAATCGTGATAGGGACATCGCTAGTGTGCTAATCCAACTGTAAACTGTTGATAAGTAAAGTGACATTTCTGGATTAAAACACTGAAGAAAAAAGACATTCAGTTTTCTGTTATTACATATCTGAATGGTCGACAATTCTGAGAATTTCCAGGCAATAAAGACATAATTATTACATACAAGTTTTGACTTCTTTATGTCTCGCAAACCGGTTTGAGTATTGCTGTGTTGTATCGTGATATGGTTTGTCTTGCCCAAGGCCTGGCGATACACAGCCCTACTGACTTAGGGTCAACCCTACTGACTTAGGGTCAGCCCTACTGACCTTTCTAAAGGGTACAACACTTCAATCCTGTCTGGAACATGAACCACCAAGCCCACTGTGGTGGCTGCAACAGATCACTTATCATTCAAGTGAATGTTTCCTGCTCACATGGCTATGATGCACCACACTAAGCACACTCAGTAAAGCAGCGTCCAGTGTTTAATTAAGCTGTCCAAGTGAAGTAGTAGTATTGCTGGTCGGTGGAAGTTGTCCAAACGAGTGACATGGCTGGTCAGCTTATCCTATCTGAACAAGAGTCGATGCTAAGTGCTTAGCGCCGCCCAAACGAGTGACTGGTAATTTATACTTGATGGACTGCATGGGTCTTTAGGCGAGTCCTGAAATGAAGAGTGAGGGCAGGGTGAAACTATAACCACAGCTTACCGCTTTGTTTGTTTTCCTCGCATGCTGCTGCTGCTGCTGCTGCAGGAGATGAAGCTGCAGTTGTTCCCGCTGCTTCTTGTAAAAGTCCTGCAGATGCTGCTGCAAAGATGCGGTTTGGGGACATGAGATTACAAAGATGCAATGTCACATTCGTCTGCACACTGAGCTGAACAGACAGGGCCATGATATTCTCTGGAAAGGTTCCATCTTACTAAGTCTACAAGAAATTGTATCTCCTGTGAAAATGTATATAACCTGAGAGACAACACATAAGACATTTGGTTGTTTGGTAGACAGGTACACACACACACACACACACACACACACACACAAATGCATGTTTTTGTCAGAACCTCAGACTTACGTTCTTCCTGGCAGAATCAGGCACATATAAAAGGTGACAGCAAAGGAGAAGTTCAGCCAGTTTTTAAATGAGTTCCATTTTTTAAGAATCTGGAGTTCACTATCGAAACATGTGAGCAGGCATGAGCGCACGCAAACACACCTGTTGTACCATGAGGGCCTGCTGCTGGAGCAGAACCTGGATGTGCTGCGGACTTAGCATCTGCTGTGGAGTCAGGAGCTGGGGGGTGGCGGCCGACGCTAGGACCTGCACCTGTCCAGAAACAGACAACATAATTAAAAATCGACTATTCAGTGAAACCTTATTCAGTGATATACAGGTGTGCGGGTGGGGAGGGGGGAGGCAGGACAGGCATTTGATTTTCCACTAAAAACAAATAAGGAGTCAACATGACTGTGACCTAAAGTTTCTAACCAAAAGCCTGAAGCACAAAATCATGCGTCCTAGTTACTTAATTCACCTTAATGTAAAATACCTTAATGATCCGAATATAAGACAATCCCAATTACCCATATATAACATATAAAAAGTTAATGCTAAAAAGAGACCACAGACAACTGCATTACAATAAGCATATTAAACAGCAAACATTCCAATAAATAAATGTATTGTTTAGGGGGGGGCAGATAATGAATATTACTAACTCCACAACTCCTGCAGAGCAGAACGTTTTCGATGCAGCAGACCCACATAAAGAGGGCAAAATAAATGTAAAAAAAATTTAACGTATTGAGTCATTTTAATAATGGAGATGACAGCTCCTTTAAAATTAAAGTTACTCTCTTTTTTAACACCAACTATCGGTTTAATACTAGCGGTGGCATAGACATGGAAGCCAACGATTTACGTGACACTAATGATTACACAGTAAAGAAACACAAGCATTCCATGGCAAACATCTACCCATTACACAGGTATGACATTTACAATCAACAAATACGAAGATACACGTATTAATTTACACTATTTAAAGATGCACGCAGTGTGCTGCAAAGCATGCAGGTAAATGCATAATCAGCCCTGCTGACCAAGACCGTCGTATGATCGTATGATGTCGGCCAGTCTTGGTGGCAGTGTGGGTGATCATCGCTCATACGATGTCGTATTGCTAAAACGAAGTCAATACCGTCAAGTACGTTTCAGTTATGTGGTCGTCTTTAGCCTGAAGACAGATAGACAACATTAGATGGCATAACCTATGTAGACTGCCCTTTAAAATATAGACCTCAAATATAAGACGATTCCAGTTTTTTAGATGTGATTTTTTTGGGGAAGCACTGTTAGAACTGGGACAGGGTTTGAGTCTCAGGCAGGTGTCGTGGAGCTTCCTCTGGGTTCTCCGCTTTCCCTCCAGAGTCCAAAAACATGCTGAGTTTAACTGGAGTTACCAAAAAACCCATAGGTGTGTGTTTGTGACTGAATGATTTGTGAGCATGCCCTTACAACAAGCCAGAATGGGGCACCAGCCCACCACAGGGCAAAAGGCAGGGAACGACCCAGAATGGGGCACCAGCCCACCACAGGGCAAAAGGCAGGGAACGACCNCCAGCCCACCACAGGGCAAAAGGCAGGGAACGACCCAGAATGGGGCACCAGCCCACCACAGGGCAAAAGGCAGGGAACGACCCAGAATGGGGCACATTCACACACCAGTCACTCGTGTCTTTAAACCACGTGGGAGCTTTGGCACAGAATCCCAGAATTCATAGCTACAATGAAAACATTCAGTTAGCATCTCATGGGGAAGCTGATGGAGGGCAAAGGTGGGGCTCATGGGGGGTCGTGATAAAAAAAAACAAAACATTGGAATATTATCAGTTGCATTATTTGTTTGATTTTATTGATAATGCCTTAAAATGAGCATGTTTCCAGTTATTAAGAGCACTTTCAATCGTTGTCTGGCTTCTGTTTTTAAAGCAATTTGCCACAGAGGATTAGATTTACATAGTTTAGATTTACATTGTTGTGATTCTTTGACTCACAACTGAACATTTCAACCACTTCACAGAAAATACCGAGATATATATTATGTATTACTATTCTGCCTAAAAATAGCGAAATTTGGGTTTTAGTCCATATCACTCAGCCATGCATTCTACTGATAATGCCAAATGAATGCTTATTTCATTTCTGGAAGATGTAGGACTAGCTGATGCTCTGGGTAATTTATAGCAATCCCTGCTCCGGGATGGAGTACTGGCTCTGAGGCTAGGGATCTGTGTCAGCAACTGGAAGGTTGCTGGTTCAAATCCCGTGAATGCCCAGAGTGATTCTACTCTGTTGGGCCCTTGAGCAAGGCCCTTAACCTGCAATTGCTTCATCCTGCGTATGACGTTAATCTGTATCTGGCCCTGTAAGGAGGTCCTCCAACTTACAGGGAATAACTTGGGGGTTGGTGGCAGGATTGGAACTCCAGCCACCAGAAAAAAACCTCACAATGGTCCATTCGGACCAGTGTGGTGCTGAGGTATCACCTGCTGCATGGCTGCACTCAGGTTCTCATCCCTGAGGTGGTTTGTCATGTGGTGGGTGCAGCAACGCACTGTAATCGGTGCATGATCCTTACCTCTCTCCTGCTTAAAAAAACAAAAAAAACCAAATCATCGTATGGTGGTATATATTTGTTTAATTTCCAGATTGTTAGAAATATGTCAGAATTTAACAGCCCTTATTTAATATTCTTTTTTATTTTTATACCCTTTTATGAAATGTTTCAAGAAACTGACAGTAAAGCTACTCTGGGTTTTCATGCCATAAATGAATCATTGAAATGAAAACACTGATTTAACAGTTGGAAGCTAAACATGTATGCAAGTTTCCTATGAGAAAGACAGAGAGCCCGGAGAGTTTGATATTTGTGATATTAAAAATGTCATCTGTAAATGACTCACACCGGAGTTGACTTTCTCACATTGCGCTGGCTCGGAACCCTTCCCGGCCAGGACCTGCTAGGCTGCAGTTTTAACATCCTGTATTATCTTTGTCCATCTTGCATAAGTGGTTGACCACACCCACTACCACCCACGATTCCTACACACTACGGTCACATTGGGGTGTTTCAGTGATGATTCTGCTGACTAATGGCACAAATGAGAATTGTGTTTTTCCTGACAGGCACACTTTTTTTATTTTTTTTTATTTTCCTGAATTCATGCAAGACTGAAAAACCAACTATATAGTACTTTTATGTTTCCCATCATTTTCTATTAAAATGTAGAGCAACATGTGCAACACTTACACCCTAATTCTTTCTAAAATAAAAACTGCAAATTTGTTTCTTAAAAAAACAAACCAGTAATCTGACTGAAATTCGACAATAATCCATAAAAAGATTATGGAACTGCAGGGAAAAAGTTACTAATGCACTAAAAAAAAAAAAACGCAATTCTCTGAGAAACGCCCAGTATGCAAACCAAAAAGCCTTCGTGAGCTTCCAGCAAATTACTATTCATCTCTAAAATTAAGGTAGCTTTACAAATGTTTGCAGTGAAGATAAACAAGAATCACAATCACTAGCCTATATATACATGCCGACGGGGGGCATAAAGAGGGAAACTAAATAGCTTTTTAATTAAGTTCTAAACCACAAACAAACAAGCTTCTAGCAGAGTCTGTTTTCTGCAAAATGGAAAACGGGGGGAATACACGGCATGCTAGACAGTCTGTTGTCATTATCAGTCATATTTTCCCACACTCACTTCACATAGCGGTGTTTCTGCTCCAGCTTCCAAAACAAGTGAGCGCCCAAAACAAGAACCTATTGTGATTTATGGTCAGCGACTGCAGGGGAATCCCAAAAAAATCTGATGACTTCATGACGCTAGACGCACTCACTGCAAGAGAAAATGGTACCAAATCACTGAGGTGTCCACTTCATTTTGAAATCCCTACCTCTGCAATTCAGCGTAAGTAGTAATACAATCCATTAGCACTCAATGAGGTTAAACTGACCCAGAGCTCACGGCTTCCCCCCTCACCCCCCCCCCTCCGGGGTCACAATGTAGAGGCCATGGCCGGCCCACTCCCCTACAGCACCGTCCCCTCACGGACATGCCGGCCAAACAAACCTCGCCCTTGTTTCCATGACAGCAGACACAAGCCCACACATTTTCTTGTTGTTGTTTTTCTGTGGGCCAAAAACCCATTAAGGATGGTCTGCCAGCGGCGTTTACGCTCGGAAAATAAACCGGGAATTTGCTCAACTGTGACTGCATTTCTGCTTTGCAGAGAAGCATCTGCCAAATAAACAGATGCAAATGTAACGCGCATTTGGTAGAGCTCCAGAGCCGTGGGTTTGCTTTCTAACCGCGCTGGTTTGGGTGTTTGTAGCTTCTCCCCATGGTTATGAGGGTTTCCTCTGGGTTCCCTCTCATAGCCCAAAGACATGTAGATAGGTGCTATGCATGTATGCGCCCTGTGATGGAATGCTACAGTATGTCATACTGCTTTGTGTCCCATCTTTCATTGGATAGCATCAATGCCCCGCATTGGACCAGCAGTTATGGAAAAATGACAGATGACTGAATGGAATACATTCTTCCCATAAACTATCAAATATGGAAAATGTGATTCCTTGATATTTGCACAATTAAAAGGAAAATAATTTTAATTAGAGCTGGGCGATATCGATATTATACCGCGCATGAGCAATAATCACCAGGGCTTCAGATGACGGGCAAAACATCTGGCCAGCTTTTCAGTACTATACAGATGTTTATTTACAGCCACAATTTGTTAAGCAGATTAGTAGCGCACCTAAAACATTAATGAGGTATTTTATGACGGTCAAAAGTTAGTAATCAGTATAAATTCAGCATATCTTTATGTTTAATAAATGTGTCGTACTTTAAACTGCAAAAAGTACAGCACTGATGTATACCAAACCAGGGTATACCAAAGCAGTATTATGTGGTGTGCTCCGCTAACCAAATTTAATTAACATAAAGGTACACCAAGTTGTTACAGAATACTAACTTTTGGGTGTCACAAAACACATCTCATTAATATTTTAGCACGCTAATAATTTGTTTGACAAATTGTGAGCGTAAATAAATGTCTGTATAGTACTGAACAGCTGGTGCCCATTATCTGAAGCCCTGGTGATTACTGCGCAGGTAAGATATAATATGAATGTGATATCGGCCAGCCTTAGTTTCAATGATTAAAAGAAATGAAATTTTTACACTAAAACGGAAGTGAAACTATCTGGTTCAAACTCTCTGGCAGTTGGATCCCACTATAATGTCCCCATA